CCTTGGTGGAGGGGCTCCAAGTTCCATTTACTCTGAAGAACGAGACAGCGCGAATGAGAATAACAGGGGTGCTGGTAACCCACTTCCCCGATCGCACTCAAAGGAAACCGGTAAAATCCCACTATCTGAATGGCAGAGAATGCTGGGGACTGAACTGAGAAACTTCTGCATGCCAAGGAGATGCCCTACCCCTGAGCCACGGTCCCTACTCAGAGCGCTTAGTACAGTTACCCTAATTCAAAGGCTACAGTGTGCTACATGCAGGGGATTCGATGTGTCTATGGAGGTCCATTCCAGCGGACTGTTCCTCACTTCACAATGTTTTGGGGAGGTCCTCACCTTAATCTCTATCGTCTTTTGAAACACATCGCTGCAGAGAATGACTCAGCTCTGCTTGACGCTGACCTCCCGGCACGTATCCAAATCCCACTGGCCTGTGGCTCGTCAAGCATGCGTTTGGCACGCAGAAGGCCCCAGGTTCAATCCCCTGGAATCTCCGGCTAAAAGGAGCAAGGAGGAGGTGATGTGAAAGTCCTCCGCCTGAGACCCGGGAGAGCCACTGCCAGTCTGAGTAGACAATGCTGACCCCCGAAGTACCAAGGGTCTGATTCAGCACAAGGCAGATTCGTGAATTCGTATGGATGTGTGAACCCAAGACTGACAAACTTTAGGCGGGGCAAACGTAGAGAAACACCGTATTAGAACAAAACATACAATACTTATATGCTACTATGTCTTCATATCTTGATTCAAATCATATACTTAAATACAATAGAGACCCTAGTGCAGTGATGGCGAACCTTTTAGAGACCGAGTGCCCAAACTGCGACCCACAACCCACTTATTTATCGCAAAGTGCCAACATGGCAATTTAACTTGAATACTGAGGTTTTACTTTAGAAAAAACAACTCATACGTTAACTTAAGATGATCCAAACAAAGGAAGGAAAGCAATCCCAAATGCTTTCATTGACTTAAAATTATTTGGCAGAGAATTTGACACTTTAATGATGGTCTGGGCCTGCCTGGGGCGATGGCACGTGTGCCCACAGAGAGGGCTCTGAGTGCCACCTCTGACACCCGTGCCATAGGTTCGCCACCACTGCCCTAGTGTATCTTATTCACTATAGTACAAAAACCTAAAGTACGTATATCTAATAGAAAAGTCCACAGCTACAGAGACAGGTTCCAATGCTGTAGACTATCTTGCTTTCTGATGAGAGACTGATGAGGGATGCAGCAGTTGCCAATGCCAATGTTGTAAACTGTTACGCTTTCCGAAAAGAGATAACAGCAAGCATCAAAGCAGCAACATGCCTCCCAGGCAAAAATTGTGTGTTTTGAGAGATTCTTCCCCAGGCAAAATTATTTTTCCTGGAACCAAAGCTCACAATGCTACAATGCACCACTCAATAATTCTATAGAAGGCTTCTCTACGGTGTTTCTCTACGTTTGCTCAGCCTTGCCGTGTTTCCCGTGTGTTTGTTGCTGAACCTTAGGCGGGGCCTGGATATCTTCTGAAATTACGACTGATCTACAGAGATCAGGTTCCCCTGGAGAAAATGGCTCATTTGGAGCATGGCACTCTATGGCACGATGTCCCACTGAGATCCCTCCTTTCCCCAAAATCCTCCCTCCTGAGGCTCCACCTCAAAATCTCCAGGAATTTCCCAACCTGCTGCTAGCAACTCTGTACCACAACCAAAGCTTTCCTTCTGAAGCTTCAGTCTATAACCATGAGATCTAAAAAACGTGCTCTTTTTCAAACATGAAAAGCGATGATTCCAGGACTCGACAGAAACATCAGATTTGGCATCAGAACACAGATTCTTTAACTCATGGCGAAAACTTCGCTCGTGCCGAAGATGAACTTTACGGAAGTTCAGCGAAACTTTCTCCCCCCCTCCCCCCAATCAACTTCATGACACCATAGAATGTGAGCCTCAAGAATAATCAGCAACCCACGGCCCATCTTGAGGTTGCCTTTGCGGAATCAGCTTGCAAACCCACATCGCCTCATCTGGAGAGCGGAGTGGCATTAATGCCTCGCCTGGATTTTGCACTCACCCTTGCGCTCTGGCCCGCGATAAGCTGATCGTCTTCGGTCTGAACACTCGTTCGGCTGCGGACGTCATAATCTTCTTGCTCAAAGTCAGAATCGTCTTCAAGCTCCTCGGGAGTCTGGATTTCAAAAGAGAAAAAAAAGTCAGGAAAGAGATTGGGGGAGAAGAAAGAAGAGGTGGAATGCTTACCAAGAATAGAGAAGGAGTGACTCACGAAAGCTCCTTCCCTGCCATAAACTTCATGAGTCTTTAAGGTGCTATTGGACTCTTCCTCCGTGTGTTTGTTGCTGAACCTTAGGCGGGGCCTGGATATCTTCTGAAATTACGACTGATCTACAGAGATCAGGTTCCCCTGGAGAAAATGGCTCATTTGGAGCATGGCACTCTATGGCACGATGTCCCACTGAGATCCCTCCTTTCCCCAAAATCCTCCCTCCTGAGGCTCCACCTCAAAATCTCCAGGAATTTCCCAACCTGCTGCTAGCAACTCTGTACCACAACCAAAGCTTTCCTTCTGAAGCTTCAGTCTATAACCATGAGATCTAAAAAACGTGCTCTTTTTCAAACATGAAAAGCGATGATTCCAGGACTCGACAGAAACATCAGATTTGGCATCAGAACAGAGATTCTTTTATTCGTGGCGAAAACTTCGCTCGTGCCGAAGATGAACATTATAGAAGTTCAGCAAAACTTTCTCCCCCCCAATCAAATTCATGACACCATAGAATGTGAGCGTCAAGAATAATCAGCAACCCACGGCCCGTCTTGAGGTTGCCTTTGCTGAATCAGCTCGTCTGGAGATTGGAATGGCATTAATGCCTCGCCCGGATTTTGCACTCACCCTTGCGCTCTGGCCCGCGATAAGCTGATCGTCTTCGGTCTGAACGCTCGTTCGGCTGCGGACGTCATAATCTTCTTGCTCAAAGTCAGAATCGTCTTCAAGCTCCTCGGGAGTCTGGATTTCAAAAGAGAAAAAAAAGTCAGGAAAGAGATTGGGGGAGAAGAAAGAAGAGGTGGAATGCTTACCGAGAATAGAGAAGGAGTGACTCACGAAAGCTCCTTCCCTGCCATAAGCTTCATGAGTCTTTAAGGTGCTATTGGACTCTTCCTTTTTTCTACTGCTACAGACAGACTAACACGACCACCCGTCTTGACCTGTCTCCGTGGAAGTCACCACATTTAGCTGTACAGAATGGAAATCCATCACCCTTGTCGTATAGGGACAGATGGACTCACATTCTAGCCGTATCTGAAGAAGTGAGCAGTGACTCATGAAAGCTCCTCCCCTGCCACCAATTTTGTTAGTCTTTAAGGTGCTCCTGGACTCTTGCTCTTTTCTGCTGCTACAGACAGACTAACATAGCAACTGATCTTGACAGAATAGAGAGAAAGCCCGGCATACACTAAGTTCCTATTTCATCAAGCACCTGCCCAGGGAATGCTGTTTCTCCTTCATTTTAAATTAACTCGTCTGTGCAAGCAGGCAAGCCCCCAAATTGAATTGTCGTCCCCCCCCCTCCAAAAATGAACCTTTTCCAATCCTGCTCTTTTACAACTCAGATTCATCATCACCTTGCCACGATTTCTTTTAACTCTGTTAAGGGGATGAACTTCTGCTTTGCAAACGAACACCCAGGGGATGTGTTTACCCCCTGAAATGTAATATTTCAAAATAATTGCATTTGGTCTCTGTAAAAAAAAAAACAAAAAGGAGGGGGAAGACCAATAAAATAGCTGAAGCAAGCTGACTGTAAACCCCCTCCCCTCCCCCCGAGATTAAGAAGATGTTTGGGAAAAGTCACCTTGAGCTAGGAATGGCACACCATTCCTCCAACTGAAATGCAAATTATACACACTCTGAAGCATAAATGCATCCATTGATTACTAGGAGAGCCCAAACTATCAGACAGCATAATGGGCCCTGAATTATGCAGTGTGAAAGCCATACCCAGGTATCTACTTGCCAAGAAAAGGAAACTATTTCATTCCATTCATCTATTCTTACAAAATGTATAAGATTGTCAGTCTCTAAGGGGCTACTGGACTCAAGTTTAGACTGCCCTATTTTCCTCCAGCTGGCATGAGGAGCATTCACTCTCCATAGCAGAGAAAAGGGACAAGGACAGTCCTCCACATATCATCCCTGGCACAACCAAACAGCCGTAATTCACCAAAAACAGAAAGGAGGGTCTTCTATCTTCCATCCGCTTCTGTGGCTAAAAGACAAGCCATGGGCCAAGAGACCCCCCAGTTCAAATCTCACCTCTGTCACATAGTTTCAGGGCACAGCTGGATTAGTCTGCAGTAGAAGAGCAAGATCTGAGTCAAGGAGCACCTTAGAGGTCCTTTCCGCACTAGACCTTAAATCCTGGTTCAACCGTATCCCTGAATGTATATTCTATACTAGAAGAAGAAGAGATTGGATTTATACCCCGCCCTTCACTACCCAAAGGTGTCTCAGAGCGGCTTACAAACTCCTTGCCCTTCCCCTCCCCCACAACAGACACCCTGTGAGGTAGGTGGGGCTGAGAGAGCACTTGACAGAAACTGCTCTTTTTTCAAGGACAGCTCTTATCAGAACTACGGCTTGCCCAAGGTCATCCAGCCAGGTGCAAGTGGAGGATTGGGGAATCAAACCCGGCTCTCCTAGATT